TTGTTGTTGTTGTTGTTGTTGTTGTTGTTGTTGTTGTTGTTGTTGTTAATGTGTCCTTCTTTTTGTTCCCTATCGGCACCCCATCTTCTTGATTCCAGCCCAGCCACGGGTCAAAGGTATGAGCACTCGCCACGAAGACCACACTCTCCTTCGTCACCTGCACAGATCTGGTCGTGCGAGTCATGAAAAGGGGTCCCGAAGGACTGGGTGGCCTCCCTGACCCCCAATGCTTGGATGAAATGGCCCCTGGATTCTCTAAGGACCTCATTAGATGCAGTCTTCGCATCTTCTAGCAAACACTCCCTCTGGATGAGTTAATTCGATCACAGCTCAGACTCAGAGGAACTTAGTAGCATAGAGTCCGCATACATTATCTGATCGTCTGATGGACCACGTTCCACTCGGCCTCATGGACCACGTTCTTCGCTGCGCAGTACGCCTGCAGGTTTTGCAAGGTGCAAATGCAGCCCTTGGGTCGGTTCGTGCTCCCGGAGGTAAAGAAGATGTGCGAGACCGTTTCCTCCGCAGAAGGCAGAGCAGGCAGAGCAGGCAGAGCCAGCGCACCTGCGCTCGGCTCCTGGATCGGATGCGGAACGTCGTCGAGGCCGGGTGTGATGGTCTTAAGTCTCCAAAACGCTGGGCTAGAAGGTCCACGACACAAAATGAACCAATTCATGATCATCACCTCGTGTTAATTACTAACTCTTAGGGGCGCAGCCTCTGCAAAGCTGTTGAATCCTCGTGTTCGCGCCCCAGCTCAGTTCTGTGTCCCGAAATCGGTCGTTAAAGAGGCACTCCGAACCTGAAACTCTCACTCTATCTCACTCTCGAACAGCCACAAGCCGCACATGAACAAGACAAGAGCCCCACCATCAGTCCTGCTGAGAGAACAACTCCGAATCAAGCATCAGTCTGCACCCTGCACGTCCAACAAGGCTTGGATGAGTGACCGGTGACCAGCACGAGACCGGGATCAGCTCTCTACAATCTTCCTCCTCATTTTCACCACCTACCACGTGACTGACCCGACGACCGGGGTGTCGACGCTACAGTCCTGCGACGGCGCACAGCTCTTGCGCCAAAGCGGCTTGGGCCACGGCCGCGACGAGGGCTACGAAGGGCCCTGCATCCTCTGCCGTGTGCGTGGCGGTCGGGGCGCCAGTCGAGGCAGTTTTGGGCCCCCTGGTCTTAGTTCCTGTTCGATTCGAATGAAAACCAGACGTGCGAAGCCAACGAAATGGAAGGGTTTTGCTAAGAATGGTAACTCAAACAGCACAGGTTCGCACCCTTGTGGTGCCTCCAACATGAATCTCAGCCGGGGCAACGGCTCATTCTCGCCCAAGGGCACCAACACCAAGTTCGCCAGCAGAACAGCCAGCTCCAAAGTCGGAAGTGCAGGGCCACCTGGTCTCTGCAAAAAAGGAATCGGCGGCGTATGGACTTAGGACAATCAGGATAATTTCTCGTTTAGAGAATTCCTGTTCGAACAGATTAATTCGATGCCGAACCAGGCAGCATCGACTGAATCAGGCAGCAGAAGCAGTCGTGACGAGCGAAAAGAACGACGATGTCACCGAAGACATGAAACTGGGACGCATCTGCATTCTTACGTGAACAGCCTTTGACCGTTCTACTTCCGGGCTTCCCCTTCACATCCTCCAAAACATCTCAAAAACGGCTTCAAACGGCTTCTCCCGCTCCAACGAAGCATGTTCCTTGTCTTCCCCCCCCCCACACCCCGGCCACGCCTCCCAGCAACATTCCCACATTCCGTGCAGAAGCCCCGTCCGCGGACAGGCGGCACGCCGCGCGGCTGGCCGTCGTCCAAACGTGTCGATAGCTCCAGTCCTTGACCGTGGCTGGACACCCGTGGACCACCGAGAATGAACAAACTACCTGGGAGGTCAACCTGGCCTCAAAACTGGGGCTGGGGTCAAAACCCTCGCAGGGATGGTAGCCAAGGGACTCCAGAGGTGGTTGAGAAAGTGGGCGACTTGCCGTGGACTTGCCTTCACTTTTTCTTGGTTTCCCCTTGCTTGGCGCGAGTTGCTGCCGTCGCGATCCTGCATTTGACGGTCGATCCGTGCTCCAGCTCCCCCTGTTGAGCAGCTTCGAATGTAGCTTCAAAACGTTGGATTGAGCATGATTCTTTTCACACCTTTGGCGACCAATTGAAAATGGAACAGAATAAAAATTGAGCAAGATCGGCGACTGGTAGCAGTCCATCAGCTACTGGTAGCAGTCCATGTCAGAATGTTCACAAATACTCGGAATGGACCGTGGACAACTCAAAACGACCGAAAAGGGGTGTTTTCTTTTTCGCGGTGAAGAGGAGTTCTCCTGCTTTTCACCGATGGGTGTGTAGCTCGACCTCGCATGCGACCTCCCCGATTGGGCCAGGGGGGGTTTTCTATTGAAGTGCACGCTATCGGTGTACTCTATCCTGGTTCAACAGCCCAGTGCTGGGACAAGGAGGGGTGTGCGAGCCGGTGCGCATCACAATTGGCATCACATGAAGGCTGACTTGAAACCTGGCTTGAAGGTGTATCTGTGAATGGATTGAAAGGGTCCACGGTGACTGGTGTCTAAATCATAGGTATGGTCTGGTAGGTCATGGCAAAGAACAAGGCACAATCTGGCAAATCGCTTCTACCTCCACTCCGTCACAGCACTGAAAAATGTATGGAATCACAGGGTCTCAGTTGCACACATCCAGGGCGGCTGAGGATTGCAGGCGAAGGCCTGAAGACCCAGAATTTGTAGGCTTCAAAGTCTGCTTGCGCTCAGCCCATCGTCGACGTGCACGTTCACCAAGGGCAGGAAGTTGGCATCTGTCAGAGTCGCTGCTTATTTATGTGTCATCTGACCTTGGGCACCAGTTCTCAAGGCGTCAGAGGCTCTGTAAGCTGGCGCTGGCAGGTTGAAGTGGCAGCCGGGCAGCCGGGCACTGTGGCAACCAACTTCTTGCTGGCTGAGCAACAGCATTGCTGGACCTCGGACCTAGGGTCCCATATAGATCTTACAATCGCCATTTTATAGCAGCAGCAGCAGCAGCAGCAGCAGCAGCAGCGGCATGGCGTCGCTAGCCCAGCAGGAGAAGCATAGTCCATTGTCTACCATGTTTCCCCTCCAGGAAAGACAAAAGGATGGCTGAGTGCTACTGGCTGCCATCCTTGTGTCCTATGGCCTTTCCTGCCAAGTGGCTGCTTCTTGCGCACAAATGGATTTGGAAACTACCATGCGGGACCTCGCTCAGTGTGTGTGTGATTGTGTCAAGGGGCGCGGGGGGGGCGCAGCAGGGCGCAGCAGCGTTCACTCCTTTGGTGTCAAAGCCCACCAAGCCCACGCACCCACCTCCGCGCACCCCACCCCAACCAATCTTTCAGAACCAGGAGACCTGCAAAGGCTTCGAATCCAACGGATCGTACCAAAGAAGGCCGCGCGCATCTGGGGCCTTGCCGGCAGGACGGCGGGCGTGGTCCGAGCTCCGCCGTGTTCGGCAAACTCGGAAGGACCGGGGACGTCGAGTGGTCCGAGTGGTCCGAGCGGTCCTGGGAGGTCCCCCAAAAGCGTCGTAGACAGTGATGGACTGAGGGACTGAGCTCTCTGGATGCTGTGCTGTGCGTTGTCAGTGTGGTGAGGCAAGTCCCATGCGGATAAAGATGGAGAACCCACCGATAACACCAGACCATACGCCTCAAGCAACAAGAACAAACACTGACCAAAGTACCAGCAAATTGCGAGAAAACTTTTACGACTGGAACATTCGCCCCACTTTCGAAGAATCTCCCTGAGAGAATATCTCCAAGGCCTCACAGGCATGCTTCCAAATGGTCTCCAAGGCCATGGCTCGCCGCTAAGCCATGGAGGCCATGCCTCACAGGCCTGCCCTGCTCACCAAGTCAAGAATCTCAAGAATCTCTGGCCTCTTCGGTTTGCCGAAGGTAGACTTACAAAAACTTGTGGATCCATTCCGAATTTTATTCCAAATTGCTTATTCTAGAGCCTATATCAGAGCCTGGTCTTGCATCTCCGAAGGGGTTTCATTCATCAGTCTACATATCAAAACATCTGACTCTCGTCATCCCTTACTTTCTATCGCCCCGCCAAACCGATGAAGCAAGCTCCTGTGGCAAGCTCTGCTTCTTCATTTTTGTGTCGAATTCTGCTTCTTCACCAGAATCTGAGCCAAAGTCTGAGCCAAAGAAGAATCTGTGAGTCGTGGTTTCGCCATTTTTGGCACGGCTGAGCAGGGCAGGCACAGGGCGTCCCGGTGCAAAGGGTCCCAACGGACCGCGATCACAGCTGGCAGCGCGCGCCTTGCTTTTTGGCTCGCGTAGCTTCGCCAGGACACGCGATCTTGGCCCCTGCTCAAAGGGGTTCTGAAGTTGCAAAGGGGCCGGAAAGATGCAATTGATGTGCTGATTTGCTGGATTTGACTGTCAACAATATGGCAAGACTTTAAAATTGAATCGGTGCTTAGTGCTTCCAACATGAAAATGATGGCCCATTGGACAGGGACTTCTTTGCAAGCATTGCCTGCAGGCCCACATGAGCCACAGCCGACTGCCGCCGTCAAATAGAGACATCTCTTGGTTTATGCCTTCGTGTGCCATTTGTACTATCATCGGTCTGCTGCTGCATGTCTTGAACAACTGTCAAACTGCCAATGGAACAACTGCCATATGTGCCATGTGGGGATGGGTCAAAACCTGCAGCCCTCCTCACCATGTAGCTTGACCTTCCAGATAGGTCAACCTAGGTATGCTGGTCTTGACCCACAGCCATGTCTGTGTAAAACGTGCCACATCATGCGAAGCTGTCAGCTCGCTGGGTGAGCATCACCGTCGGAATCGTGCCCTATGTGTCGATCTCCACCATTGGTGGAGCATATTTTAAGCGGGTCCGCCGACCAGCTCCCGTGTGTTTCAGGACGTCTGAAAAAGGCAAAGGTGGAACAAGAAGCTATTAGGTTGGAGGCCATCGCTACTAGTAACAAGATACTAGTAACACCGGATGTGTTTTTACGTTTTCCTGGACAAGCTGCCCATCCGATGGAAGAAATGGAGATGGCAAATCTATGGGGCAAAGAGTTCACGTCCTCAGCTACCGCAAAACCTTCGAAGTGTGTTGGCTATCCATTGTCTCACATGCTATACTTCAGCCTGGTTGCCTGATTCTCTCTTGTATCCCCCGCCTGCCGTGTCGTGTGTCGTGTGGGTGTCGTGTGTGTTTTTAACGGAGCCAGGCGGCGACCAAATGACCAACTGTACAACTCGCAGGAAGTGGAAGCTTTGCGAAAACAAAAAGAAACCAGGTCCGCGTCTGCTGTTTTCTGAGGATGTGCTTTTCTGAGGGTTTTGGGAGGGTGAAGGCCCCGACCCCACATGCTGGATGTCTGAGTTCATAGCCACCTCAAGCTGTGAAGTTGCAGAGCACTTCCTACAAGCCTGCGATTTGTACAGCTGAAGGAGTGAAAAGCGCCACGCCCAGTCAACTTGGGGTGAGGCTAGCTCGCAACCAGCCGATTTTGCTCGAATGCAACAAGTAAGCAAGCCGATGAGAGAACAAGAGGGATCCAAATGTCCTGCCAACGACAAAAAGATCAAAAAGGGATCCTTCCTCACCCCAGTGCGGAGCACTCTCTGGGGCAAAAGGGGGATCGCAGGATGCACTCTCAGCCAACATCGTTGAGAACATCCCAGTGCATTAACAGCTAGCCTCACCAGTCACGAAAATAACCTCATGAAAGCATCCCCCTTGTGGAGGTCTCTGGGGTGAGGGATTTCATTTTATAAGGAAAAATCATTTATAAAATGGAATCTCTCAGGCTGCTGCTTTATACAATCAGAACCCGACATAACCCGACCCGACCTTTTTATATAATGGTGAGACATGTTCGGAGAGCAAAAAGAGTAAACATTCAGAGGCGCCTTTTGTCTCTTTATGGAATTGCTTTCCATGTGCCAGTGATCATTTTGATCCGAAAATTGCCCATGTTTATGGAATGCTCAACCAACATCTGATTCATTCTTTGGATCTCTTTGGACAGACTCAAAAGTCCTCTGCGCGGACAAGTCTGTGATTCTAACTATGTAAATTTGCGACCTCTGCCAGGACCTCTGCTGGATCTTTCGATTACTTGAGTGATTCTCGGGTGGAATTCACTCCGGAGAAACAGGTGGGTTTATAACATGCACAACTTGAATGTGGCACATGGTGAATGCTCAGGTTTTGATCAGCGCACAAAATCATGTCAAAATGCTCAATGAACATCAATGAACATATTTATGTGTGCAGTGCTTTTCCTTTTGGCATTGTTGTGTTTCACATGTGTTTGCTTGCAAGTTTGTTGAGATGATTGCATTCGGTTGCTATCACTTGTCTTAAATTGCACAGTTGCTTCTATGTTGTTAAAAATAAAGTTGACTTTCATTCTTTTGAGATGTTTTGAGTGTGATTCTTCTTCAAACAGAATTCACAGAAACTAGTCCTGCGCAGGATTTACCTACAGGGAGCCTATAGCCACTATACGGCTATACCATAAATGGCTCAATATGGTGTGATAGGCCCATGCAAACCCAGGTATGTAATAGAAACCTTGGTTGTAGAGCCACTATTGTAAGGGAGCCAACCACAGCGCAAAAAAAGTGACCCAAAACGCAGAGGTTGGATCGCCTCATTTTTTAAAACTTCACCATGCCCATCGTATTTGTGAACACCCTCCCAGGAAAAAGATGGTAAACCCATTCTATAAACATTTTCACCTCCCAAAGCCCATCGTATTTGCGCACACCCTCCCAGGGAAAAGATGGTAAACCCATTTTATAAACATGTTCACTTCCCAAAGCCCATCGTATTTG